CAGAAAGCAGTTAGTGCTGTGAAAAAAATAGATTCCAATAAGAGCACAGAGAGTGACAGATCTGGGGGCGCCGCAGAGAGTGGAGAGGGGGAGGCTACTTAGATGAGGTGACACGGGCCACAGCCAGAGCAATGAGAAGCCAGCCATGCAGGACCTGAGGGTAGGGCTTTAGGTAGGGGAAACAGCAGGGGCCACACTGAGGTTGGTATACTCCAGGGACAAAGTAGGGGACGACAGAGAACTCGCAGGGAAGTGAGGAAGTCGAACCTGGGTAGGTGGGAGGGGGCGGGGAGGCCGTGGGTCCTTGTTACTGAATTCGCCTAAGTAGAATTTAAAGGACTTCTGTTTTGGAGACATTTGAACCAGCGCATCTATGAGGTCTCTGCTAGGTAAGATGCAGGTATGCTACAGTTTTATCTTATTTTCTTTTATTTTTCAGTGCTGGGGATTGCCCAGGCTAGGCAAGTGCTTCATCAGTCCCAGAAATGCTACCATTCTAAGTCCAGCACACTGACCCTCTCCGCCATTCATCCACCCTGGGCAGCGGTCCTATCCTTCTCCTTAATGTAACAAAGACCAGCTGTCATGGGCTAGCCAGAGAGACGGCTTAGAGACCACCTTGTCTACTTCCAGTTGTGCTGCTGAGCTAGAGGTTTTCTAGAGGAGAAGTAACCAAGCTTCAGTCTGTACCCAGAAAGAAGCGCACGGACGGCTGCCCACCTCCATACCCCTTGTCCACTTTGTCACAAACTCCTGCAACTGGTAGGAGGTGGGCCTCCCTCCCTCCCTTTCTTCCTTTCCCTCTGCAGTGATGTGTAAAGGACTCGGAGTTTGAGAAAGAAAAAAGAGAGTCTCTGGGCTGGTTATAGCCAGTTTTCAATCTGTTAGTAACAGACCCTGAGGAGGAAGAGTCACCCTCAGTGAGAAGCAATAAAGGTCCAGAACAGGGGGTCCTCAGTGGGAGAGAACTCATCCGGAGTCAAAAAGTCCAACCTAACAAATGCCCGACCACAGCCACGGCTGGCCACGATGCTCACGCCCACCCCGCAGGAGGAATGGGAATTCAAGTGCAAGAGCCGGGCGCTGCCCACAGCAACTTAGAATTACGCTGCTCTCCGAGGATCAAAGCAAGCAGATGGCCACCACCACATCCGGACGGCGTGTCCCCCTATCAGGCCTTGGCTTCCGGTCACACACAAATAGAGGAGCCTGGGCTGAGGACTCCAGACAGCTCATCAGCTTCGCCTTCTGCTGACACAGTCCTTCAGTGATGGAAAGGACAGTCCCACGCCTTCCCATTTCCTAGTCTGCCCGTGTGTCAGGAAGTTCTTCCAGCTCAGATCTCTGGTAAAAATGTTGGCCCCTGCCCTTTATCTCCAGCAGAGAAGACAGACCCGCCATTCTTCGTTTCTCTCCCCTGGGTCCTGATTTTGTGTGAAAAATGGCATTTATTAAGCATTTGGTTGTGAAGATTATCTTCCTAAATACTGCTAGCCTTGGTTTATTGCTTTTGCATCTATGTTTATGGATGAGATTTGCATATATATTTTTTACTATCCTTATCAGGGTTATGCCAGACTCATAAAATATTTCCATATGCCATAAAATAGTCTTTTTTCCATCTTTCCTCTTGGGATAATCAAGACTTTTCAGCGAAGACTTCTGATGTTCTATGAGTGTTCTAGGAGCTCCGCACGGCTGAAGACTTTCAGATTGTAAACACTGCCCTCATGGTGCTTAGACCGTCACCTCTGTCCCGACCTCCACACCATAAACGGCTTTTCCCTCTCCATAGAACTCACCTCTCCATAGAACTAATGCACTGATGAGTAGCCCAGAGTAGCAAGGGATCGAACAGTCATTCAACCCTTTGGTGACGCTCCTGCTCCCATTTAGAGGTAATGCTTCTGGTGCTGTCACGGCTGAACTCCTGGGGGTTATGTAATGCTTGGCTATACACTGGCTTGTCTATCACTGGGTCTCTCTATCACTGGCTCAGGGTTCAACTTTTTCACCTCTGCTCAATCTTTTAACACCCCATTTTCTGGCCAGCTTCAAACATTACCATTTTATCTTGTTCTTTCATGAATTTGTGCATTTGTGTCTTCACTCGTGACAATGTTTGAGTATTTTTTTACTTTTCTAGTATCTGCAGCAACCCGGTACCCTTTTTAATTCCTTCTGTGTATGTTTCCCCCCTTTCAGTCTGGCCAAAGATTTCTTAATGTGCTTCCTTCCTTAAGAACCAGCTTCTAGCTTTGTTGAGTCTGTTTCATTTTGTCATACCTTTTTTTCTGTAGGTTGACTTTGCTGTTCTAATTTATTGACATAGATGTTTAGCTCAATTTTCAGCCCTTTTTACATTCTAATAAAATTATTTTAATATTTTCATGCTACAAATGTTTTAAAGTAGTGTTTGGGCTGCATCCTTCAGTTTGATATATATTAATACTGTTTAGGCTAAATTTCCTTTATGATTTCTTCTTGGACTGTAAATTTCTAAACACAGAGGGATTAATATCTCATTATCTTTTAATTCTGATTTCTCACCTAGATGCACTGTGGCTGGAGGGCGGTACAACCCTCCACCTGTTGTTGAGGTTGACTCGGTCTAGCGTGTGGTTAACTGGAAAAGTCCCATGTATGCTCGAGAAGGAGGTACGGTCACCAGACACAGTGTTCTGTACCTGTCCGTTACAGCAAACCTGCTAAATGCTTAACTCTCTCATATATTCCCCTGGTATTTTGCTTCTCTGAATGGCCAGAAATTGTTAAAACCTCCCATTATGATGTTGGATTACGTATTTTCCCATGTTCTTCAGTTTTTCTCTTACAATATTTCATATGTCATTGGAGGTGTATGTACTAATTTAGCGTCTACCGTTTTCCTCAAGAATGGAGTAGGCCTATTGTCATGTAATGGTTTTTTTTTTTTTTGGTTTTTCTCCGGTACCGGGAACCGAACTCACGACCTTGCGCTTGCCAGGCAGGCGCTTTTGCCGCTGAGCTAAATCCCCAGCCCTGTCATGTAATGGTTCTATCTCTAGTAAGGCTTTATCTCAAAGCCTTTCCAGGGCCACTGCAATGCGCAACCCCTGGGAGGCCATTCACAGCACAGTTCACAGAACTGCAGACCCTAGAGTTAGATGGTCTCTTTGGTCACTCAGAGTGCCTTGATTTTTGTGGCTTATTAATATAGCTTTACCAGATGTATTTTGTTTAGTGTCTATTTAATATAGCTTTTCTAGACTTTTTTTAATATCCTAGATTGCCTATGTCTCTTATAAACAGCAGATGGCTGCATTCCTTTAAAAACCCAGTGTAAATCAGGTGTGATGATGCACACCTGTAATCCCAGCACTGGGGAGGCTGGGGCAAGAGGATCTCCGTGAGTTCAAGCCCAGCCTGGGCTACACAGTGAACTCAAGGCCAGCCTGAACTACACAGTGAGATCCTGTCTCAAACAAAACCAAACTTGAACTAAAAAACCCAAAACCATTTGACCATGGCTTTTTTCTACATTTAATCCACTTATGTATATTGTAGTTGACACATTTATATCTATTTCTACTATCCTACTTTGGATACCATAGTTGTCCTTTTTTCTCCTCTGTCTTGTCTCCTTATGGATTGACTATATCTTCTTTTGTTGTCATGGTGTACTTTATCATTCTTTTTTTTTTTTTTTTTTTTTTGAGACAGGGTCTTACTATATAGTTCAGACTGGCCTTGAATTCACTGTGTAGCACAAACTGGAACTCGAAGTGATCCTCCTGCCTCAGCCTTCCTATTGCTGGGATTATAGGCATGTACCGCCATGCCCAGCTTATTTTACTTATGCTTGCTTGAAAAGTATTATCCTCTGCTTATTTTTAGTAGTTTATCTAAAAGTTTTTTTAGCATGCCTATTAACATACTAAAGTGTAAAGTTAACCTATATACTTATCTACACACAAGGGCCTTATACTAATTCTGATCACCTCCCTCCCTGCTTTCACATATTTATCTTTTGAACCTTATAAATTTAGTTACTTTAAATGATTCAGTTATCACATCCTTTGCTCTATGTTCTTTGATACATATTAAATGTGTTGTATTGGATCACTTCCTTTTGTTGGGGCAAACTTGGGTTGTTTTTTTTTTTAAATGTCTTTCATTTCACCCTTTTCTTTGTTGTTGTTGTTTTTTTTTGTTTTTTTTTTGTTTTTCTCCGGTACCGGGAACCGAACTCACGACTTTGCGCTTGCCAGGCAGGCGCTTTGCCGCTGAGCTAAATCCCCAGCCCCTCACCCTTTTCTTGAAAGATATTTTTACTGAGTATAGATTCAGTCAATTTCTCACGGCACTTTGAAGATACTGTCACTGTCTTCTGGTATACAGTTGCCAATCAGACGTTCGCTGTCACCCTGCTTGTCTTTACTTTGGAGGTTACCTGGCTTTTCTTCCTGGATGCTTTTAAAATCTGTGCTGTGGTTTTACCATGGTATGTCTAGAAATGGATTTATTCATCCTGCTTGGAACAGGATTACTGGAATATTATAAACACTTTGGTTAAAGCTTGAGCTTCTATTCTAATTTTGTCTTAGAAAATGCTGTGGCAGACAATTCCCTGCTACAACTGGGAAGATTCTTGGGCAGCCAGACTAGCAGTGGTCGACACAGATACTGCTGGAAATGCTGATCAGGACTTCGCTCCTGCTTATTTACTTTCAGTGAAATGGAGGCCCAGACTCAGTAAAATCCATGCTCTCCAGGCCAACAGTGCGTCCTTTCTCACTCCTAGCTGTGAGCGAAGGGCGAAGTGGCGGGGGAGCAGGGTCCCTCAGGGAACCCTTTGCAGAAGGCTCGGGCTTCTGCCGCACTGATGGGAAGGATCAGACGTCCTGAACCCAGGCTGAAACCGGGGAGCCCCACATCCGCTTCCTGTTTTTTCACTTTGAAGAGCATAAGTGATGTGGTTGCTTTCATCTGTAACTAAACAGTACAAATAAGTCAACTTATTCTCATTTAGCAAAGTGTTTTATTCAAAAGCTTCTCAGCACCATCTAGTTGTCAGAAAGAATGAACATCACCTTTTCCTGCCCCCCAACCCCCAGTGTAGAGGCAAAAGTTAAGCCATTTGGCTAGAGCTCCACCTAATGATTACAACTGAGATCCCGATAAGGTTTTGGTTGTTTTCTCTCCCACTTTCTTTAAAGCCTCTGTTTAACCCAACGCAAGCAGAGCGGCACCCCCACAGTTTAGAACAGGAAGGAATCATGTCAGACCTGATCAACCTCCTCCTGTTCTTGGGCTGTAAGAGGCACATGAAATTGCCTTGAAAACACCTTCAAAACATTGAATTCCACGGCTGCCATCCAAGAAGGACGGCGATCTGCGAGGTCATGTGCAGTTCTGAGAGCTCAAGTCTTAGGCACCCTCTACTCTAGGAACCAGAAGCACTCAGCTTGTTCTCCTCAGACACCTCAGTTGCTCATCCGCTCCTGCCTTATTACAACAGACACTGAAGAACTTTTTGACGGGGTTAAGACAATTACATCTGATGAAAATGCTAAGAGATCCTGAGCTGTTGGAGATGAGGAGAGTAGGTAACATGTTCTGATTTTTCCTTCTCTTCTTCTTAATGAATATTTTGTTTCAGCATAAAGCACACTTCCCCAAAGAGGTTCCTGGTGGAGACTGGAAATCCAACAGTCTGCCGTGTCCTGTGGGAACACACAGTCACTGCGTAACTTTGGCTTCAGTCTCTGGAGCTGTCCTTTGCAGCTACATCAGGTTCCATGGGAGGAGGAAAGAGCTGGAGGTGATGTCACTCAGCCAAAGCCCCCATGGGGTCCCAAGCCGGGAGGACAATGGGCTCCTGCTCTAACACAGCCAGCACCTCTTCAGGGACATGCTTCTTGTCCACCACCACCTCGTAGACATACTCTGAGAACCACTCGTCAGTCATGCACAGGTAACCTAGAGAAGAGAACGGAGCCACGTGAGTCCAGAAGGTGGGGCAAAGAGCAGAAGACCTGTCCGTGCTGCAAAGATGCTGCTTACAAAACATCTGTACATGCTTTTCAGCTCTCCAACCTATAGTATCATTTAATCTAGGTCTTGGTAGCAATTCTGTGACCTACAAAGACACAGCATATTTTTACCAACTAAAAACGGGGCTTAGGGTAACCAAGTGATATGTCCAGGTGACACGGGCAAGGTTCAGAGTGGGTCCCAGACCCATGGCTGTGCCAGACAAGTGCTTCTCTGCTGCTCTGCTGCCCTGCTGCTGGCCAGCCCTGCCCTGCATGCTGGCAGGTGGGTGGAAGCGCGTCTTGTTCATACAGCCCTCCCCAGAGAGATGAATCTCCACGGTGGAAGGGCGAGCTCACCAGCTCCATTCTCACCTGCCCTGCCCTCTCAGCATCTTGGGCTCTTCTCCCTTCCTCTCTATCACACACTCCTATAGCAACTAGCTAAGCTGGCTGTTACAAGCATGTTGATGGGCCACGTTACCATTCCCACTGAAGCCATGCATTTACAGATGATACTGTGTGAGTCAAGTGATCACAGTTTTTGCTTTCTTGGGAAGGGGTCTGCAATGAGGATCAGGTAGGACTGAGGATCAGGAACACGGAGACCACTGTTGCTCCTGTCTTCCTCAGTAAGGCCACACCATTTACAGATTTCTCAGTGAACAGGAAGATGCCGCTGCACTAATACCCCAGGCTGGGAACTCAATGAGGAGAGAAGGAAGCTATGCGCTATGCCGCTTCCCATGACATGTCTCTTCCCATTAGGAAAAGCAACCTGTATCTCAGCTCTGCCAGAATAAGAATTCCCCTTCAGATGCACACTTCCGACAAACTTACATGGGAAAATTGTTTTGCTTCAGCCACTTTCAATATGAAGAGCAAAATTAAAGCAAGGAACTAAACTGTACGCACTGAAAACAAAACTGGGTTACTAGGCCAGGAAAGAAATACAGGGCACACAGCACGTATCCAACCACACAAAGGACTCGCAGGACCATCAACACCCACCTCCTCGTATCTGGCACCTCCTCTATTAGACACTTGAGCCATTTTTCTCTGAAAGGGTTTGTATAAACCTGAGTTTATGCTACTCATTTCCCATGGAAAGAGACCAGAGAAGGGGAGAAGACACAGATATTTTTTACAAGAGGGTCCTCTAGTATAGTTCTCAAACTTCCTGGCCTCAAGAACCCTTTCTATTTTTATAATGATTAAAGATCCCAAAAGTTGTTTCTGAGGGCTACATTCTATTCATATTTACCATACTAGAAAAACAGCTTGGGAGGCTGAAGCACGAGGATCATTACATATAAAGCCAGCCGACGCAAGTTAGTGAGACCCTGTCTCACAATAAAGACTAGCGGTGTAGCTCAGGGGTAGAACGCTTGCATAGCATAAGCAAGGTCCCTGGGTCTAATCCCTAGTACCACAAAAACAAACAAAGTTAAAACTTTAACTTATTTTGAAGTAAGAATTTAAAAATAATCACAATCTCTAAAACAAAACAGTTTTTAACATTTTCCACTAGGTCTACTCACAAACGGCCAGGACTTTGTAAGGTTCAAAGAAAGCTTTATCCATGAGCTGTTACAGAAAGTCAAACAACCGTTACATTTTGGTCACAAGTGACACTATCCAGCATATTCGGGCTGCAGTGTCAGAAGTGATTTATGTTCATCTGCTAGGAGACACAGAATGCCACGCTAGCTTTAAAACTCCTAAGGATGGTCAGGCAGTCATGAATACACATACAGAAATTAAAAAGCAGCACTGCTGGAAACTGCTGAGGTCTTTGGTAATCTGAAAAGAGAGAGATCAGCCAAAGATGTTGGTAGATCAACAGGCCAACCTTAATCAGCTCTGGGAAAGGAAAGAGGCACTGAGAAGTTAATCACCTAAGCTGAAAAGATTCCTTTGGCAAAGACTCTTCAAGCAAGTTGACACGTTAGATTTTCTGAATACGATTTTGGAAGGTATAGTTTATCACCTCTTTATTTCACTAGCTGAATAATTCTCAGTGATTCCATTTCTATTATAGTAGTACTACCTAAGGATAATGTGTTTCTAAAATCTACATATGATTAAAAGAAACCCCTTTGCTACTCAACTTACAGTAAGACTTTTCCCCTAGAGATGAGCATAGTATACATCAGTTTTCGTTAAACACTGTCTCTGCTGAAATTACAGGACAAGTCAGACTAAAGTGACTTTGTAAATGAACATGTTTTGCACATTTAAACATTATTTTTTTAGTTAGGAAAGTAGTACTGGTTTTCATTTCAAGGCTTGGCTTTATGGACAGCTGGGCTCCTGTATACGTGTCTGTGTTCAGTGTGCTGCGATCTGCAGTTTTATTGAAGTAAGTGAAGAAAATCTGGCCTCTCACAGGTGTGTCCGTGAAGGGAAGGCCCTGTACGCCCGCTAAAAAGCTCCCAGGGATCCACAGGCGCTCAGCGCACACTTAAGAGCTACTGTTCTTAAGACAAGACTGATGTAAGTAACGAAAAGGCAACATGGTGAGTCTAATTTGTAGGCCAAACGCTGACAAAGGGAACTATCTAACATGAAGACACCACCGCTTTAGTGAGTTCACCTATGCCCAGTGCTGCTTTTTACCTCTGAGAGAAGTCAAAGACAACTCATCCTGACTTGGTACAGCATGTTTACCCTCCAAAGCAGGGGTCCTGAAAAAGTGTTCTAGAGGGACTGGCAATGAAACCTGCCTAGCACGCACAAGGTTTAACACACATATACATATACAAATATCCAGGGGCGCCTCTCTCGACAGGAGACACAGGAAGAGAGCATGGGCCAGTGCTCTGGCTTGTCCTGATTACACACCCGAAGTCCTTGGCTTTGCTTCCGTCAGTCAGTCAGACCCTCAACATCTCCTACACTAAGGCCACCCAGTACCACTTCCACCTACACCCTGAGTATGCGTTTCCCGAGACCCTCAGTATCTGCCTTCTCAAAAGGAGGTGTGAGCAAGTAGGCCAGTCTGCTCAACATCACACCCTCCGAGACATCAGTCACGCCTCCCCTTACCACTGTGAAGGCCGAATACATTCTAGAGTAGCTCTGGGCTGTGCGGCAGGTAAAGGACAGAGGCGGATTCATGTAATAAAGTTTTGTGTCCTTATAACAATATTATCACTATACAATCAAATGAATGTTCAAAGAATGCCCAAAGAAAACGGGCAGTAAGTACATCTACACTATCTTGTTCCAAAAGCAGATCAGATTAAGTCCTCACAAATTAAAACTCCTATCAATTGTAATCCACCCTTTCAATGTCTCTGCCAAGAGGACCTGTCTTGATTAGTGTCTCTCTTCAGGATATGAGTTCTTTTCTTTGGGGGCCCGTAAAAACCTCCCAGTCTAGGTGGCTGTCAAGTAATTGTACCCTGAGCAGATAATAGACTATGGCTGCTGTAACTGTTGACACTGCTCGTCTCGAAGTTTGACTGAGATTAGAATCGGTGTCTGAAACTCAGGAAGGCTGTGCTTAGGCAGGTGCCCGTGGCCACTCTGATGTGAGGAAGGTTGCAGCTCCTTGCCCTTAAGCACAGTGGCCATTAATAGGTACTTCCTAAGCAAGTAGGAAAAGAAAGCAAAATGGGATCCCAAATTACTATTTAGGAAAACTGTTAAATGAGTAAAGAAAGTCAATTTCAGGAACTAAGGTGAAATGAAATTTAAACTTTAGGACTGGAGTGTAGCTAGGTAGACAGTACTTACCCAGTATGCTCAAGGCCCTGAGTTTAACTCCTAGCACTGCAAATCAAATGAAACAAAAACTAACCAACAAAGAAACCACTTTGAGATGTTGCTACACAGTCTATGGACTTCATCTTAATGACTTCATGTTCTGTGAGGTGGTTTCTCACTATACGGGAAGTCTGGACTGTGAGGCTTTAAACGTTACTGGCTTATTTACATGCTATGAAAAAGAAATAAAATAAGTGAACAGTTCCTCAAAGAAACTGGCAATGCTTCGGTACTTTGCAAACCAAAGAGTAGGATCTGTCTGTAAAAGGAAAATAGTGTCTGTGGATAGAGCTGTATACAGGTGTGGTGAGATTCAACGCAGAAGAGCTCCCAAATGGCCAGTTTTCTGAAATCCTGCAAGAGAGCTGACATCTGAACCTCTCACACTAGACAGCACGCATGAATCATAAACATTTTATATTTTTTGTTGCCTCTGTTCTATGAAGTGTTTCACCTCACTAACGAACTATTTATGGCTAATTATTATTCAAAAATGCCTGACAAAACCCAGTTGTCTGTTCTGCTCTGGTGGACCCATCTAGTGGTATGACCCGAAGGGAGCCAGACTACCAGACCTCACGAAGTCACTACCAGTCTTTCACCTGCTAGCTTTCACTCCAGCCGAGGACATGCTCTCAGAGAGGAGAACAGACCCTCACTGGCACCTGTCTATAGCCCAAATTTACTAAGAAAGTGCAAGAAACCACTTCACAGAGCATTAGTCCTTTAAAATAAATTTGCAAAGGCCACAGCAATGCAAAAGAGTTTTTTCTTTTTCTTTTTTGATGGTGTTGGTAATGGAACCAGGCTCCTGTACACGCTAAGCAAACTCTACCTCTGAGCTCCACTCCCAGCCCATGAGAAAATGTTTAAGTGATAAAAGTATATAAAAATGGTATATCCTGTATAAACCTATGTTACAAATATAGATGTACAGTAAAGGCAACAATAGACTGATAGTTCTACAGCATGGTGTAGGTGATTTTCTCCTCCAAAATTTCTGAAATGTTGTATTTCTTTCTCCTTTATCCCTCCTTCTTTTCCTTTTTTTTGTAGTACTGGAGAGTGAATCTGGGGCCTTTGCACTGAGCCACATCCTTAGTCCATTTTTTATTTTGAGACAGGGTCTTGCTAAGTCACTAAGTTGCCGAGGTTGGGTTCAAAATTGTAATCCTC